TGCTGTGAAGGATGTTTGTAGATGTGGATAAACTCCATAGTCAATTGACTTTAAACAAAGGAGATTACCCTTGAGGATCTGGGTGGGCCAGGTCCAATCAGTTGAAAGACCTTCAGAGCAGAGCTGCAGCTTCCCTGAGAAAGGAGACATCCCCCCGCGTAGGGCCGCCTGCCTCCCCTGACACCTGCCTGCTGAGCCTCAGAGCCGCCCAGCCAGCCCACAGTCACATAAGCCAATTCCTTGTAGTCAGTCTCTCAACGCGTACATCCCCTACTGGTTCAGCTTCTCTGGGTGACTCCTGACTAACACGGAGAGAAGTGAAGTGAGGATGGAGATTGCTGAGCAGGCTCTGGGAAGAGGATCATTTAGACACAGCATGATGCTGCACCAGAAACTGACGCCACGCTGTAAACTGCCTATTTCTCAATGTAAAAAGTAAAAAAAAATAAAGAACGATGGACAGATGCATAATTATGTAACAAAGCAAGTACAATAAAAAGTTAATTGTACGGGGTAAAAAACACCAGTGGAGAGGAGTGAGAAACCCAGTGGGTGTGGAAGGAGGTCAAGGAGCAGGTGAGGCTGGTCCGGTGGGCGGAGTCTCCACAGAAGCCAGGGGACAGCCAGCTGGGAGCGCGCATCCGAGCCTGAGCCCCGCTCTGGGGAAGCAGCGCCGGGGTGGGGAGCCAAGTGCACCGGGCTGAGGACTCGGCGGAAGACACCGAAGCAAAGAGGAGGCATGGTTCCTCCCAGAGGCCCCAGCAGACAGGAGGAAGAGAGGACGTTAGCTCAGGGAACTCAGAGACGGAAGGCTGTGGACTGACACTTGCAGGAGGACAGACACTGAGCGCATCCAGGTGCCTAAGGGTCAAAAGCAGCGATGAGGGAGAACTGACCGACAGGAGAAAGGAGATGACCGGTACCAGAGACCCCGTGAGACTCAAACACAGAAGCAGGGCTTTTGCTCCGGCGAGGGGACCCTTCACAGGGATGCAGCGGGATGAGGGGAGCGGGCTGCCAACGCTGTTTTTATCATATTTGCAGGAGGAGCTGGACCGGACGGTCCCAGTAGACCACTGAGACCAGCCACCTGCCCTGAGGGGAAGTGGCCAAGAAGAGGGCTTGGGAATTAGTGGCAACTAGAGTTTTGGGGGTTTTTAATGAGAAATGGGAAAAGCCCAGTCCTTTCCTGGGCTCTTTCTGGAAACAGGAGACAGAAAAACTAGGCAGAATGGAGGTCAGATATACTTGGAGGCAGTGATTTTACCTTGACAAAAGGAAAACTGATTTTATTCAGCAGCATTCAGTGATTCAAGGCCGGTTACTGGCCCCACCCTGGGTGCGGGCTCAGTGAAAGGCAGGGCAGGAGGACAAGGAGGCCGGGCAGTCGAGCATCTGCAGGGACGGCTCCCGGAGTCCAGGCTCAGCCGGGAGAGCAGGCAGGGCCCGGGAGAACGTGCAGGGCCGCGGGGGGAGGTGCCCAGACGTCTGCAGAGGCGGTGGGTGCAGACTGAAGACCAGAGTGGATGAAAGCACAGGGCCGGGGGCCAGGCTGCTGGGATCCTTCTGGCCCCACAAGTTAGCAAGGTGTGACCTTAGTCGGTTTATTTAATCTTTCTTTGCTTTAGTTGCATCGTCTGTTAAATGGGTGTGGAAACATACCTGTCATTACGAAGATTAAATAATTCACATGGAGTAAGCAGATTTACCAGCTCGCATATATGAAGTGTTCATTGAATTTTAATCATTTTCGCTAAGGGAGGAGACAGCTGTATGCGTGGGAGATAGAGGTTTAAGGTGTCAGAGGTGGGGCTGCTGGCAAGGTTGGTGGTGTGGGCGTGGGTGGGCATCATGGCAGGTGACCTGCACAGGAAGAAGTGAAGAGAACCTGGGGTTAGGATCCTGAGTGTCACCCCATGGGCACCCCCAAGGTGTTGGCAGGAGCCAAGGACATGAAGCAAAGGCTGAGGTAAGAACTTTGTACGCCAGGACCACAAACTCCAAAGCCTGCTGAGAAGGGAGGCTGGAGCGCTTCACCGTGGAAGGTTAAAGTACCCTGATATTCAGCTGTTAGCAGTTGCTACACGTTAAATGATGAAAATCCTTGAAACATTCAGTTATCTTCAAAAGGTACTGGACAGAGTTCCAGGTGCCCAGGGTGGGAAAAGCTACTCGGAAGGCAGGTCTAAAAGCAGTCAAAGCTTTTCCACAACTCTCACATTCTCCCCAGGTCCATGCTGGCCATCCTAGACCCGCAGCTGCCCCGCCGTCCGAGCATCTAAATTCCACCTGCAGAGTGATTTCCCAGATGACACAACCATGGCCCTTTCGCATGCTTAACATTTAAAAATAATGTCCTCAAAATTGAGCCTCCATCTTTCCAAGCAATGCTGCTCAGCCCTCGACGTCAGTCACGAAAGCTGAATGTGAATCCCACACCCCGGTTCTGCCCTGAGCTCTGATGAGCGCACCACTGCCTGAGGCCACCCTCGCTAGTATCTTCAGTCCTTTCCTTTCCTGAGCGAAATAAACCCAGCTCCGTCAGCGTTTCTTCTGGGGTGTGTTTTTCAGCTCATTGACCACCTATCAGTCGGAACAAATTCTAAATGCTCCTCGGTGCCCTTAGCTGTGGCTCTAAGCCAGCTCTTGTTTCCGTGGGTCAGCATTCCAGAATGCTGACAGACCCCTTCACTCCTCATTTGTCATCAAACTATCTCCAGGTAGCCGAGAATGGGGTGGGAGGATGGGTAATGCTGTTATGTGAACTCTCTCAACTTCTTTTGCACCTTCAGCTGAATTTATCCCCTTCTCACAAATTTTAGTCTTGGATACCTTTGGGATACATATATTTAGTTTATATTTATAGTTCTTTATATTTACCATTAAAACTCCCAGCCAGTCTACAATGACTCTTTTTTCTCTCTGGCATGCCTGTTGCTCCCCATAGAGTCACTTGTGCACATATTTTGGGATTCTTCATTCTTTTTACTTTTTATTTTTATTTTTTTATTGAAGTCTAGTCAGCTTGTAATATTTTGTCAGTTTCCGGTGTGCAGCATTATGTTTCAGTCATACAAGTACATACATATATTCCCTTTTCGTATTCTTTTTCATTATAGGTTACTACAAGGCACTGAATATAGTTCCCTGTGCTGTGCAGGAGAAACTTGTTGTTCATCTATTTTATATATAGTAGTTAGAATCTGCAAATCTCGAACTCCCAGTTTATCCCGCCCCACCCCCTTCCCCTCCTGGTAACCGTAAGTTTAGTTTCTGTGTCTATGAGTCTGTTTCTTCATTCTTTTTCATCCTAGACTGCAAGGCTATACAGAAAGGTGTAGAGCAACTCAGAAGCCCTTCCTAGACTCAAAACTTGAAGTGCCTGTTCAAATGACAATAAGATGTATCTGTTTCACTGAAGCACGTAAACGTGACATAAGGAGGGACAGAGCGGGGCTTTTGTTTGCATCCTCTTTCCTGTAGCAATGTTTTATTACAAAACAACGGCCTCTGTAACAAAAATCTCCTTAAAATTTTAATTATGGTTTCGAATACAGCTGTCCTTTCTTTTTTCTTTTCTTTTGGTTACTATAATCTTCTCTGTAATGGAGAGCAGCCCTGAAATTACTAATGACTTGGGAAAACAATTCACTTTTAAAATAGTCCTCCTTCTGTACCCTGTACTCAGCACTGATGGAAGTCCTGTAAAATGCAATGAGCAATTATGGAAGCCAGGGGCAGCAAGCTACAGACACCGATTGTGGGTGAAAAGAGCGTATCTGGAGGCTTAAATGATGGTTTTCAGCTCCAGAGCCCAGACAAGGATAAAAGACCTGACATTCCGAAGCCAGAGAGAGAGAGAGAGATTAAGGGGTATTTGAAAATTCATGTTACTACAGATACTGTTCTTAAAGTTCATAATAAATAAAGAGCCTGTTTCAAAACTAAAGTCAGGATAAAAAATAGTAAGAAATTAGCTCCTCATCCTTACAAGGCCCCTAAACAGAGTAACTCGCACCCTTCCTTTATTTCACAGGAACTTCCCAAAGGAACGTCAGCTTTGTATTCTCTCTCAAAGGTGCATCTCCAAAGCATTAAGTCTCCCGGGACGTGAAACTTCTCAAAGGGCGCCCAGACAACGTTGAGGCTTTTTTTTTTTCCCCCTTTCTTTTCTTTTCTTGTTTTCTTTGTTGCAAGAGGCCAAAATAGGAATCATTTCACTAACCAGAAAGCGAGTGTATATGTCGATATTGGATACTTAATCATTGGAAGTTGACTTCAGTGTAATTCCACAAAAGAACAATAAAATAAAACAGTCAATTCTTAAGGTGGGCAATAAAAAAAAGCAATTTTTGAAAACCTCCAGCATCCTTTAGAGGATAAATATTAGGCGGCTTGGATCCTAGGTCGCTGGAAGTCTAAGCAAATAAGATGATATGTCAGCACTTAGAGGCTCGTGTATGGACACCAACCACCCTAAGTAGTGCAGTGTCTTTGCTCCATAAACCTTAACACCAATCTGATGAGTCACGAGAAATACTGAGGTGTCTTCAGTGCATTAGGTGGGCACGAACTGTATCTAAAGAAATACTTGCAAAGGGCAAAACGCGGTGCTCCAACCTGGGGCAGGCAGCAGGCAAATGGCCAGGCAGACGGACTAGTTTCCTGCCCAGGCGACCCTGACTTTGTTCCACACCCCAGCACTTTCCTTGTCTGCAGGGTTCGCAGTAGGGTCTTGGGGGGCAGGGGAGGGTTGCTCTGAAATCCTCAAGACACCTCTGGCCTCGGATTCGCCCTATGCGAACCTCGCGGTCTCGCACCAAATATTCTCCCAGGAAATCCTTCACTTCTGAGTCCACCCTCAGAATCTGCGGAGCCCCGACGGAATGGGGTTCCCGGAGTCCAGTACGGACGCAGTGGGCTCCCCACCTCCCAGCGGGTGGCAGGCCCGACCCTCCCTCCCGGCTGCGACCGCTGCGGCGCCCGGACCCCGCGCTCACCGGATGATCACGAACATGACCAGCGAGTTGCCCACCAAGCCCACGACGAACACCACCGAGTAGACCGCCGTGATGACGACCGCGATGGCCGGGGAGATGTG